CAGGTGTCCCTCATTTTATTTCTTAATGTGGCTACCAGAACATTTAAAATGACATGTACAGTGGTCATTCCTGGCTCACTTGCCAGCTCTGGTCCAAACAATGTACAACCACACGCTTTTAAAACGTCTTTAAGAAGGAGGGAGCATTTCTGCATTAGCCCCACTTTTACATTATCTGTGACACAGTTTCCATTTATTCAGCTGGGTACGGGTTGTGGGATTTGGCGTTTTAAGGGAGCTGGAGTTTCTAGAGCTATTTTTAAAACTCATCCTTCCTCCTTAGTGGTTCCCACCAGCAAGGCAACTCCTTGGAACCCACCAGGTAAGGTGATAGGCACAAACCAAGCCACGGTGGCTTCACGCACATGCTTTGGTGTTTTGCTTCTGTTTTGTTTTATTCCTTCTTGTGGGTAGTCGTGTATTTTATTTGTCACTTGGGCAGTCTGAAATGGCCCTCTTGTCCCTCCACACCCACCAGCGATTCCAAGGTGATATAAGAACTGGTGATAAGTCTGAATGGAGGTCACATAATTGTCTTGCGGACCGTACCTTTGCCAGGTAGGTGATTTGCTGCAGTTATGAAGGCAGAGAAGCTGCTGGCCCAGGAGTCTCAGCCTCTTCCAGCCTCTTCCTCAGGATTGCCCTTCCAGCCAGCACTGCGGCAGCACCCAGCTAGGTCCTAAGCACTCTGACCATCAGAAACTTTGAATATCGACCCCTAGATCCTTCATAGGGTGGCTAGAAACCCGGTGCTCCTAGTGATAGGATCCCCTCTGCTTACGGGTCACAGTACCATTTCTTCAAAGACTGCTCTTCTGGAAACCTGTGTCTTAAAGGATGGGGTCCCCAAACGTAGAGTACTCCTCGACAGCAAGGTTGTAATTGCACCCTTCCCATCTTTGTAGGGGCTGGTCACTCTTCTCATCCAGCCTCGCTCTCCCCCCGTGGTTCTCCCCAGGAATTCCAGGCAATGCTGTACTCTGTGCCATCACCGACTGCCCAGACGGCCACAGGAATGACACGTTTATTCAGGCTTTGTCTGGTACTCCTGGTAGATGACCCCGTGTAGTTAGCCATTGTACAGCAGCTGATGAGGCTGTTGGTGTGGATTTCTGCTGTCCTCTTCTCCCCCCGGAGAGGGAGCCATCGCCTTCCAGAGGGTGTGCTTCTGGATGGCATGGCACTCTGAGTTCAGCGCATGTTCCACATTGGTTAAACTTGTCCTAACTCCTGGTTCTTGGCCTGGCACTTGCTGCAGATCTTGTTGGGGTTGCAGAGCTTGTGGGGGAGCCCCATACAGGCAGGTCATTGCCCCTGTCCCCACCCCACCCCACCCCAAGCAGGATCCCAGTGTTGGGAAGGTCAGTGCCAAGCAACAAAGCCAGCAGGGTGGGGGCCACACCCCCTCCCTTTGATGTGGATCCGGTCTGCCCAGTGGGCACAGCAGGAGCCGCAGTACTGGGGATGGACTGGTTCTGGGGACACTGGCGTGCGTGACCCCATTCACCTGAGCCAGTCCCAGCTCTTGGGCAGATCCGAGGAGGACAGGTCCTCTTGAGGCCCAGGGTATGCTCTGAGCCTGAGCTTGGACAGCTGGTCCCCGACTCCCAAGGCAGGGGCAGCTGGGGGGAGCCCCAGAAGGAAGTGAGCCCCACCGTGCCACCCACCCCGCCGGTGCGCCCTCCAGCGGCAAGAGAAGCAGCAGCCCAGTGGGTGCCTGGCTCCTGGCCCAGCTCTGGTGTTTCATTAAAGCCTTTACTTGTTTCTCCAGTTCAGCAGTTCAGCAGAAGGGTGCAGGGCATCCCAATCACCTGGGACACTTGTGTTCCAGGAATCTGTGTTTTTCAATTAAATTTAATTAATTAATTAATTTTACTTTTTACTTTTTACTTTTTTTTTTTTTTTTTTTTAATGTGGAACCCAATGCGGAGCCTGAACTCACCAACCTGAGATCAGGACCTGAGCTGAGGTCAAGCATCGGCTGCTTTAACCGTCAGAATCTGTGTTTTCTTAAAAGCAGCCTATATATATTCTCATGCAGGGGCCCAACCCGCCCAGCCATTCTGACCAGAGGACTCCCCCAGGGAATCTGGCAAATACACAGATTCCCAGGCCCCCCACCCCCACCCCAGCCCCACAGGACTGCAAGGCCCAAGAGAGAGGCTTGGAAATTTGGGAAACCTCGTCTTCCAGTGGTGCTTCTTAGGCCCACCACCAGGGACCCCCGGGGAACTAGAAGAGCCTGATGCCTGGGTCGCACCCCAGGACGATCACATCAGACCCCTAAGGAGTGGGACCCAGATATCTGTAGTTTTTAACGTTCCTCTGCTGGTTTCAACTTACAGCCAAAGTTGAGAAGCATGGGTTTGGTCTTGGTAGTCAACCAACCCATCTCCTTTCTCCTTCTAGGGAGCAAAATCCGTCCTTTCCTACCACTTCCTAAACGGTTAGTTCCTGTTCCTAGCCGGAGAAGCCTTCTCTCTAGATTATGTTCATCTTTCCTCCCGGCTGGCTGTCAACTCTCTGCAAGGTGGTTAGTTCTACTGTACGTGTGAAACACCTCATTAACACTTTGTGCTGCAATGGGAAGCGCCCCTCCCCAAACACGCTGCAGAAAGCACAGGTGCGCCCTGCAGCTGCTCTGGACCCCTGGCACTGCATTTTCTCTTAAGGGAGCAACGGCCTGAGGCCCCTTCCCTTCCTCAACCTGATCTACGGGGTGTTTTTAAAGCGGCCACCGTGATCTTTTTCCTTCCGCATAATTTGAAGATGAAGATTTAAAAATAAACATTTTTCTCAACGGTCGAGATTCCTTCCACTTTGCCCCCACTGCATCTTGTATGAGCTTTATAGTAATTATCTTACGGAATTACAAGAATTTGGTGTGTGCATGAATGTCTCCCCACCCATGGGAAGACATAAACGTCTTGAGGTACAAAGATGTGTCTCACTTGTCTTTGTGTCCAAAATATCTAATAGAAAGCCTGACACAGGGACGCCTGGGTGGCTCAGGGCGTGATCCTGGAGTCCCTGGATGGAGTTCAGGGATGGAATCCCACATCGGGCTCCCTGCAGGGAGTCTGCTTCTCCCTCTGCCTGTGTCTCTGCCTCTCTTTCTCTGTGTCTCTCATGAATAAATAAAATCTTGAAAGGAAGAAGGAAAGAAAGAAAGAAAGAAAGAAAGAAGAAAGAAAGAAAGAAAGAAAGAAAGAAAGAAAGAAAGAAAGAAAGAAAGAAAGAAAGAAAGAAAGAAAGAAAGCCTGGCACATAGTGGCTTCTTGGTCACAAAGAAAACTCAAAGTATAAATGAGGTACTAGATTTTGGGTTGCTGACCCATCCAAAATCCCATTTCCTTGGTCACTATCCAACAACAGTGGTGACAGTTCTGGCAGGTGAGAAGTAAAGTAAAAAAGTCCTCCAGGAAGGGCCTCTGGAGGATCTTTGAGATACACACCGGGCTGGCCTGTTCCCTCACCCTTACTCCTTCCTGCTTTTTTTTTCTTCTTCTTCTTCCTGCCTGGAACTGAAAGTTAAAGCCTGGAGGTGCAGCAGTCATATTGTAATCATGAGGTGAACAAAAAGAGGACAAAACCAACATGCTGTGAGTGGAAGAGCATAAAGTTAGAAAGAGCCCAGGTTTCTGAGGGCAGCAGACGTGCCAGCCCTGGACCGCCGGCCCACCTCTGCACTTCTTGTTATGGGAGGGGGGAAAAGTCCCACATCCACCAGTGTGGTTGAGTTTTCTGTTATTTTCAGACAAACAGATTTATAACTGATATAACAAGGACGTTATCATAAGTATGCCTTTAGAGCACCCGGTATTGTTCTGAGCACATAGTAGGGACCCATTAAGTGTTTGCCTCTTCCACTTACTCCACTTATTCACAGAACTCTGAATAAATGATTTCGGGGACAGAGGGTCATCTTCTGATAATAACAGACTATTCCCTCACTCAAGATGTGGCCACTAATCTGAAAACAGCTTTGTTCCAGATCCTGCAGACCATATTCTATGGGTCCTGGAGGTTATTTCCAAGGCTCACTTCCTCCTGTTAGAAAAAGTAGCTCTGTTGAAGCTGCAAATCAAGCAGCGAACAGCAGAAACAGCCTCCTGGTGTTACCAATTCGCTGAGTGTCATATTTCAAGTACTCGCTTCTCTCTCGTAAGGCACGATTTGCAGGAGTGATGCCTGCTTCAAGGTTAGTTGGCTGGCTGATGTGAGCTTCGTTTTTTCCCTCCAGCCTGGGCTGCCCAGCTGCAGGGTGTCTGGGCCACTTCAGGGGACACAGCTAGGAGCCAGAGCCTCCCGGCCCAGGGACAAACTGAAAGGCTCCTTCGCCTGAGGGGTCGTGGTTACAAGAGCTCCTTTGAGAGCTGCATGCAGGAAATGGATTTAAAGGAAGAGAGATCAGCTGTCTCAGACTGAATGGAGAGGGAAGGGTCCAGGATCTAGTCTCTGGTTTTTCTCTGGGGGGGGGGGGGGGGTTCCCTCTTTTCTTTGGAATTTCTGGGATTCTCTTTTAACTTTTTTTTTTTTTAAACTTGGCTCCAAGCAGCTTGACTCCATCTCTTGAAAAGGAAGTGTTAATGCCGGCCTTTGGGGTACACATTTTTTTGCTTACTTTTAAAAGAATATTGCTGGATTTTTATCACCTTAGAATTTAAAAATCCTGAGCCATTCCAACATGCCAGACACAGTGCTAAGTGGCTTTACGGGCGTTATCCAATACTTACAATCCCCCAGCTGTGTACGTGCTATTATTCTTCCATTTTATAGATGAAGAAATTGAATCTCAGAGAGAGGTTAAGAATTTGTCCAAGATCACACAGAGCCATGAGTCTAACCTGGGGTGTCTATCCCTTACCCATTTGGACATCCCCCGTACTGTGTGTCATGGTGGTGGAGAGTCTATCCCTCCCCTCCCACTGCCCACGCCCCCAGCAGAGGCCCCAGGCTCCTGTGTGGAGAAGCCCACCTTGTTTATCCAGGAGACTTACACTCAGAGGTATGTTTCGGCTTGTGTCTTCTGGATCGAAGGCCTCAACCTGATAAATGAATCCCGGGTTTGCTCCTTCCACTATGTAGAGGTCTAGACCTATATCAGCATCCAAAATGGAATAAGAGACATTTTATCAGATAAAGCAAATGAGGAATTACAGAGTCAGGACGACTATACACAGAGAAGCAAAGAGAACCAAGCACTGGCATCGTGGGAAGGAGGGATGCGTGAATAAAGGCATGAACAAGCCACTTATGGGAACAAGCCACTTAAAGTACTCGGGTGGCCGCGCTGGCATCACATCTTCCCAAGTTTCCTTCCCACCGAGAAGTGTTGTAGGGGAGGAACCTCCATGTGAGGCTGCTCCATGTCCATGATTTACTTTCAGGTGCAAATTCCCCCAAAACTGAACCAAGGTCACTGAGCATCTCAGCAGAAATGACTTACAGCAGGAATAAAGGGAGAGGGCCACCGAGGCTCAGGAAGGGGACCAGAAGTTGTCTTCATCTACTTCAGAGTTCTGAGCAGCCAGAGGGGACCAGCCACTTGACACCACCGGCCCTGCCCAAGGGGCCCCCACGCTCCACTCTGGCATCTCTCTCCCAGAGCCTGTCCTTCTGCAAGAGGGCTGAGGAGTGCACATCAGCTCACTCCTTGGAGGCACTGTGCTGACGGCTTATGTGTTCTCCTTTATCGTCATCATCCCCATGTAAGTAGGCATCGTAATTACCTCCACTTTACAAATGGGGAAACAGGCTCAGGAAAGTTATGAGGCTGTCTCAGCTGGGGAGGGGGTAAGTGCATAAAAATTCCATCCCAGCCCATCCTACGTCTGAGCTCCAGCCCTCACTCACCTTTATCACTGCTCGTGCTTTCATTCAAAACAATGTTTACTGAATTCTCACTGTGTACCAGACACTGATCTATGTATGCACTGGGGGCACATAGTGGTTCTCCAAACACAAAACCCTGCTCTCAAGGACCTTGCATTAGAGGGGAAGATAGAGACAATACAATAAATGAGCAAAATATGTGAATGTTACTGTGCAACGTCATGGAGAAAATCAGGGAATTGAGTGTTGTGGGTTGGGTTACAGTGTTAAATGGAGTGGCTGTGGAAGGTCCATGACACTTGAGTCTAGATTCTTAAAGAAATGAGGACCATAGACATATGGGGAAAGGGGCAAAGAGCAAATGCAAAGATGCCATTAAGGGTGGTGTGTGGGGTGGGGGGAGGTGTTCACAGCCTGGTGAGGAGGCCAGGACTGCCATAGAGGAGGAGATGGAAGTACGCAGAAGAGAACACAGTACAGGTTGGAGTGGACTTGAACAGATTTGATGGTACCATTTTTTTTTATTTGATGGTGCCTTAAGGAGACTCTGGCTCTCCTCTTGAAGGAGATGGAAAGTTCTTGTGGGGTTTTGAGCCAAGGAGTGCCTTGATTGGACTGATATTCAACAGCATCCTTCTGGCTGCTATGCGGAGAACAGACTGACAGGGCAGGGCCAGTTTACCCCCTATCGCAATAATCCAGGTGATACATGACTAGTGACTTGCACCATGGTGGTAGTGACAGGGAGCAGTCAGACTGCTCAGACTTGGCAGTGGCAAGATTTCCTCATAGATTTGATGTTGGGTATGAAAGACAGAGGAGAAGAAAGAAAGAAAGAAAGAAAGAAAGAAAGAAAGAAAGAAAGAAAGAAAGAAAGAAAGAAAGAAAGAAAGAAGAGGCAATGCTGACTTTGAAGTTTGGGATCAAGCAACTGGAAGGGTGGAGGTGCCATTAGCCAAAATGGGAATGACAGAAGAAAGAGATTAGGGGAGAGGATGATGGGGCCTGGGGTGGAGTGGAAGTCAAGACTTTGATCTGAGGGTGTGTTGAGTTTGAGATGTCATGTGCTGATACCAATTCCAATATGTGGGGGACTTTCCCTGCAATCCTCTGACACCTGCGGTTCTGCAATTCAACTCAAATCTGATACTATCTACCCAAAGATAGCATTCAGATTCCACCAACCAAGAACTCACCCCACGAGACACCCCAACCCCCACTTCAGATGCCAATTTCAAGTTCAGGCTGTCACCTGCGTGTCTGACCCACGAACTATAAATCTGCGTTTCCCACCATCCCCTCTTCGGGTTCAAGGAATTTGATAGAGGGGATCACAGAACTCAGGGAAGTATTTTACTTACAAGATTACCAGTGTATTACAAAAGGATCTAACTCCGGAACAGATAGATGTAAGAGATGCATAGGGCGTGATATGGGGAAAGGGGCCCAGAGCTTCTATGCTCTCTGGACACATCACTGTCCCAGAAGAGAGAGGCTGTTCACCAACCTGGAGGCTCTCCAAACTCCATCCTTTTGTGTTTTTATGGAGGCTTGATTACATAGGCATGATTGCTTACATCATTGGCCGTTGGCGATTGAGCTCAATCTCTACCCTCCTCTCCTCCGAGGAGGTAGGCTGAGGTGTGGAAGTTGGGACTAAAAGTTCTAACTCTCTAATCACATGGTTGGCTCCACTGGCAACCAACTCTAACACTTGGGTGACCTGGGGGCATTCCACACAGCACCTCACAATGTCCCACGTGCCTGTTAGACACAGCAGATGGAGACGTGGGACAAGACAGCTGGGTATCTGAGTCAAGAGTTCAGAGAAGCTGGGCTAAGATGACAGACTTGGAAGGACAGTGTGGATGGCGTTCAACGTCATGAGCCTGGGAGAGATCATGCAGGAAATGATCCACCCTGTGCCCCCGTCCTTTGTATGGTCCCTGCTCTGCAGCAGACCCTGGTCACACACTGCCCTCCAGGGGTCTGTGGGGGAGAAGGAACAGGTCAGTCAATGACCCGCGGCAGCACACAGGGATGAGCCTCTGATGGGCTCTGCCCACCCTCACTCCAGAATGATCCACTCGAGGTCCCCGAGCCTCAGTTCCCCCTCCCCCAGGACTGAGAGAGACCCGAGAGGAACCACGGAGGTGAGGCGCTTTGTAAATTGTTGGGCATCATTACTGGGAGTCCTGTGCTGGAGGACATTTCATTTATTCCCTGTTCATCAAGCAGCTGCCTTTTCCAGGGAAACAGCTGCTCCTTTACTTACTTTTCTGTTTTGCTCTGTTCCCCAGGGTCCCCCCCCCTCCAGCGATGCACCCCCCAGTGTATCTTACCTTTTGCCAAATTGCCTTGAAACTGAGGTGGCTCGTTCACGTCTGTTACCTGCACGGTCAGGATCTGTAGGTCAGTGACACCGACGCCATCCTTAACATAAATCTGCAAATCAAATATGTTTGGTCCGGTTTCAAAGTCTAGTTCTTCCTTCCCAGTGGTGACAACCTAAAAGCAAATGCAGAATTCTTAGTAACCATGTGAAAGGAGATCTGTTTTGTATGCATGCGTTTTGCAAAGGGATGTTACCGTCTTTCCCTCACTGTCGGAGGAACCGGTTGTTTTGCTTTAGTCTTTCCCACATAAGCCCCATGACACTTCACTAAAGGGACTCCTGCGTGTGATGCTGCTTTTCAAAAGAAAGAAAAATATTTAGGCGACATCCTGGTTCCATCAACTGGAGATGAAAAGCCAGGAATTAAAACCCTGTCACTACTTGGGGTAGGCACCTAGACAAGTCCTTTAGCCACCCTGAATGTAGTTGGATTTGCTAGTCTTTAAGAATAAGACACCACACTTTCCTGGGATTGCTGTTAAGTCACATCATGACCCGGCGCTCTGGGCTAATTTTCCCAAGGCCACGTCCAAGAATGAACAAGGGAAGGATACGTCTGCAGAAATAAGGAACAATATATATTTATATCAACAGTCTCTTCAAGTGTTTTTGTGCGTTTCCACACATTCCACTAGTGGGAACCTGTTCTCTGCTCTCTAAGTGTTTTGGAGATGTGAGAGGGACACTAAGAACCAAGGCCAGAGAAACGTCATCAAGATTCATCAGCAGGAACCTGGGCGGTCCAGGGTGGCAGGGTCCTGCTGAGGCTAACTGGAGGCCAACCTGGGACCTCTCCTGTCTCCATGCACACTCCTGTCACCAGCTTAGACCACGGAGTGCCCAGAGCATCAAGGACTAAGTTTCATAAATGTCTTAATTACACTAATGGAACCTATTGCTTATGCATACGACTGGGGCCAGGCAGGCATTCAGGGTCCCATCGTGATGAGAACTTAGTGTCCCAGCTGAACTTTGGTGTGACCTTGGGAAAGTCCTTTACCTTTCCCTGATTTTGTTTCCACATGATTATAATTAGGTAAATTCCCCTTGCCCTAGTTAAACAGCTGGAGTATAATACAGACTATTATAACAAAGAGCTAGATCAGAGTACTGTGGAGAATTGGGGGCAAAGTTCATTGTGAGCTCTGTGTAGTCAGGGAAGGCTTCGTGGAGGAGGCTGTGCAAGATCTCAATTGGTTGAGAGAAGGGAGCCATGGATGGGAATGAGTGCATGTGGTGGAGGGAGAAAGTGTGGGAGAGGGCTGAGAGAGAAAATGAGGTAGTCTCATCTCCACCAGTGAGCAGGGTCAGCCAGGCACCCACATATGTGGAGATCACCAATCTCCATGCTTGGCATGTGGCAGGTGAGAGCAGCATAACACAGGGGTAAGAGCATAGACTCTGGAGCCAGGCTAACTGGCTTTAAAGCCCAGCCTTCCCATTACTTAACCCTTTGTGCCTCAATTTCCCCATCTGTAAAATGGGGATAATATTAGCACCTACTTTAGAGGGTTGATGTGAAGATTCCATGGAATACTTTGACCACTCTTTGGCACTGAGCATGCGCTCAGCAAATGCTGACTTTCATTAACATTAAAGAGCCAGAAACTGTTCAGTGAATGTATGTCCAGCAGAGCATCCCCCTCTGTCAAGATAATCCACTGTATTTCCTGATTTAGACCCTTGCTTCCTGCTAAGCCTGGAGCCCTCTCCTGAACCCCAAGCTTGAATGACTCCTTTACTACAGTATTACCTATTAACAGCCCCTTCTTCTGGGGAACTAGCACTAATACTCTAGAGGAAGGAAATCAGGCAGTCAAAAAAGAGTCCAAAAATGTTAAATCTCAGAGTCAAAGGAACTGAGTTGCTGTCAACACAAATAAGCAAGTTGGTTTTGCTGCTGTTACCGGCATTTATTGTCTGTGTGCCAGGCTCTTGCCAAGCCATTTTGTCGAGTTATCTTGTTAAATCATCGCAACAAACACAGGTTGGTAAAATATCCCACCTCAGGCAGATGGAGACTAGGCCAGGGAGGGGAAGGCACTCCAAAGGTCACAGCTGGGAGTGTGGAGGCTCCATTTGGTTGCAGGCAATCTGGCTGCAAAGTTTTGGTGAAAGACAGTGCTTGGTTTCAGGTGTGTTGAGTCTGAGGTTGTCCTGGTCAAGGCTGAGCAAATTTGCCAGACCCACCATGCTGGTGACAATGGGTAAGGGAATAGTGGCAAGAGAAAGAAGGGCAGGTGCGGGCCTCCACACAACCTCAGACCTCCGGGCCAGAGACCCAAAAACCTCATTACTAGCCTTCTCTCGCAGAGTGTGAAGTCGCCCAGGGAGGAGTCAGGTTCTAGCACAGGATGGCAGCAGAAGTAGCCCTTGTGAGAATTTTGGGTTAAAGGATGGGATCGTTTTGGACAGAGTAATTGATGCTCTTGGGTAGTTTCTGGGGAGAAGCAATCAATGCTTCAGAACAGCTTCAGGACTGGTGAATATGTGACCTATCCTAGGACCAACACAGGTCCAGGAAGCGCCAGGCCTGGAACAGTGCGCTGAACACAAGTCACCATTTCTAGAAGTCAGAAACAGGATGGAACTCTTCCTTGACTGTCAGCCCTGTTTGGATCACACCAAACATGGAAAGGGCAGGTCCTTTCACCTGATTTTGAGGCCTCACCAAACCAGCAACAGATGTGCACAGCAATGTGGGAGAAAGAGCCCAGGATTGGCCATCAGAAAACCTGCGTTAAGTTCTTATTTCATCTCTTACGGTGATGTGACCTTGGACAAATAAGCTAACCTTGCTGTCTCTCTGTGATCTTAGCTCGAAAATAGGAATAAAGGGTTTTCAGTGGTTGTAGAGTCAGTGTCAGGAGTAACCAGAGATCGGGATGGGAATGCTCAATGGGATCCCCGCACACCTGATGCTGCATGATTGCCATCATCGTCAAAGGCAGTAAAATCTAGAGGCTGAGGGTGAGAGTTCTCAAAGGGGAACAAGCTCGATATCTGCCAGCAGCTGAACTGAATGGATAGATAAATTGTGGTCTGTCCATACGGTGGGAAATTATTCAGCCTTGAAAAGGAATGAAGTGCTGATCCAGCTTAAAGGAAACTAGCCAGTCATTAAAGACCAGGTACAGTGTGAATCCATCCACGATGCTCCGAATAGGCAAATTTATTAAAAGCAGAAAGGAGATCAGTGGGTGTCAGAGACCGGGGGGATCAGGAAAAGTGTTCTAAAATTAGATGGTGGTGATGGTCTGTGAACACAGTAAAAACCACCGAATTGTACATTTTAAATGGGTGAATTGCATGTTGTACAAAATATATCTCAGTGAAGCTGTTTACAAAAATAGAGGTCTGAAGTCAGACGGCCTGAGTTTCAGTTACAGGTTGCTGCGTGATCCAGGGCAAGTTACTTAACAAATTCTGCTACAGTTTCTTCCACCTATAAAAAGGGGATAGTAATATGAATAAAATCATCGGATTGTTTGAATAGTATAAAAGTAAACACAGGTGAAGCACGTTCAACAGTGTCCGGCATATACGACATGCTGCACAAGTGCAAGCAGTTGGCAGGGCTTCTAGGACCAGATGACCAGCAGCTGTGGAGGACGAGCCAGAGGTCCAGGGCCAGATAGATAGGGCAGGTGGGTCACAGAACCAGCATCTGGGGCTGTAACCTGGATGCTGAGGTACAGCCTGTCTGAAAGTGTGCTCCTTACATACCAAAGAACCTGCCCCTAGGGGTGCTGAGAATACTGCACGCCTGAGCTCTGCCCACGCATCATGGGTTCTAAAGGTCTGCTCTGGAGCCCAGATATATGCACACCTTTGGGGAGCTCCCCTCAGGACTCTAATGATCAGCTGTGCTTAAGAGCCCCTAGTATGTACCTCAAGGAGGCCACGGAGCCTCGACCAAGCAGGCTGAGCCCACTGGGTCCCACCAGAACCCCAGGGCAATGGCAGGCAGGACCCGAGTCAGGGCTAATGATAACTGCCAGAGGTTCCTATGCCAACTGAGCAAAGGGCAGGGGTGGGGGAGGTGCAGACACCTGGACCCTAAAGGTGTCCCTAGAAGGGACTCTGAAGATTTCAGTGGAAAACATGCAGGTGTGTTTATCCTACCTAAGGAGAAGCACCAACTTTGGAAAAGACTCAAATGATGAAGTAGGAAAGAGAGCGGGGGCAGCGTGGCTCCTGAAGGTGAATGCCTGGGTCGGAATTGTGCAAGAGGAAGCACTCGCACAGCGTGGCTGGACGTTAAAGCTTGTATTTGAATGAAGGAGGTGTTCTCTCATGTTAAATAAGTCTCTTCATAGATTTCCTTCTGAAAAAATCATAGAATTTGAGAAAAGCAGAATCACCAGGCACACATTCATTAGAGCCTTGCTTTTGAGGGGACCAATGCCCAAACTATGCCACCCAAAGGACTTGGGTATTGTCACCATACGCCTAACTCCTGAGGGCACGGGAGGGCGGTTGGCAATAAGAAACAAGACTTGTATTTGTAACAAACTGAACATATTGCTCCTTGTGCTGGATTAAGCGAAGAAGGAAGGTTCAGAGTGTTTAGGGGCCTCTAGCCCAGAGGGCTCTGGGATTGCCCCAGACAGGCCTCCTGGGTCTTCCTAGAGGGGAGAGTGAGCCATGGAAAGGGGAGGAAATGGTCACTGATCTGGGATCCCGACCGCCCTCTTCTTCAGGACCCCGCTCTGTGGACAGTTCCCGAGGAAGCCACTCTTGCCTCAAAATCCAAGCCTGACAGCGCGTTCACCTTGAAGGCGTCAGTGAGGGGGCTTGTGTTGATAATCAGGGGCAACCCTGCAGTCACGGGTGACAGCGAGGCTGATAAGTTCACAGAAAACTTGTGCACTGGAGTCTCAGGTGGAGAATTCTCGGCCACGCTGCTTGTAGCAGGCAAGTGGATTAGGTGTAGCGCTTCTCTCCCTGTGGGTTTAAAAAGGATGCAAAATGACTTGAACATGAAGACTTGTGCTGGGAACAAGGACTTAACAGCTTGGTCTAGGGCTTCAACCTGTAGCTCGGAGCACCGCTGGAAGCTGGTCACTCCCCAAGAACAAATACCCTCACCAAGGACTGGAAATGGAAATGGGAGATCTTCTGGGAGCCAAGAAAACAACCACCAACAACAACCATGAAATCTGCTTCTGTCATTCTGTAAATAAGGCTGCTGCTTTTCGCTTGTCTCCTGCCACTCCTTCTCTTTCCTCGCAGCCTTTGTGAGGAGCTAGGGAAAGAGGAATGTGATGCTTTTAGGAGGCAGACATCCACTTGAAGGACCTAGTCTGGCCGTGACATCCTGTCTTACAAGACCCGGGTAATTTACAAGAGTTTATTTTCCTCGTCTGTGTTGGAATTTGATTCAGAGCTCATCAAAACCTAAGTGTGCATGACAGGCAAGCTCCAGAATCATGGTAGATCTCCCCACACATGTAAGTAATCCCGAGGACAATTGTTTGTCATTATGGGATGCTGGGGGCATCAGTTCAAGGGTCCATCAGTACATCTTGATTGATAGATTAAATCCCATTTCACAGAGAAGGAAACGAGAGACTCAGGGAAGTCATGTGCATTGCCTCGGGCTGCATTTCAGGCAGGAGTTTCATAATTTAAGAGAAAGTATGTTTCTTCCAGGAAAGCCTTGGGACACTCTTAGGTCTCCTTTATAACTTTCCAAGATTTTGCTTATACAGAGAAGAGTAACAGGTTATGTTCTTTCATGCTTCCATAGTGATGGTTACCCTAGGGAGGTGAAAAGTGTCCCCCCTCCCACATCCCTCCTCCAAAAAAAATCCATGTTCAGTCAGAACTTGAGAAGGTACCTTATTTGGAAATAGAATCTTTGCAGATGAATTGGTTAAAAGGAGGTCATTCCGAATTAAGGTGGGCCCTAATCCACCAAATGGTGTCCCTATAAGAAGAGGACAGGACCCAGAGACACAGGAGGAAGAGAGCCAAGTTATGATAGAGGCAGAAGTAGAAGTGATGCAACTAGAAGCCAAGGATCATCAAGCAACCACCAAAAGCTAGGAAACATGTGTAGAACAGACCTCCCTCGGAGTTTCTAGAGAAAAACCAACCCTATCAATGCCTTGGCTTCAGACCTCTGATCTCCTGAACTACAAGAGAATAAATTTCTTTTGCTTTAAGCCATCCATTTTGTGGTAGTTTAGTATGGCAGCTCTATGAAATCAGTGCAATGACCACTCAGCCAATGTTCCAAATGAGTGCATCATTAAAATATTTTCTCTCGTTTACTCCCCAAAACAACTCTCTCAGAGGGGTATTAGTGGCACCATTTTACAGATGAGGAAACTGAAGTGAAGAATAATAAGTAACAAAATCAAAATTTATACTGAAGTCCTACTTCTTAGCGGGTTTCCTGATCTTGGCCACCATTAGCCCCTGGGGGAACAAGCCACTTGGAATGGGAAGAGGTACAGGGGTAAAGAAAAGGATCTGTCCTCCAGAAGGTGTGGAACTTCTAGAAACAAACAAGCGATGGGAAAATGCTGGATTTTGTAAGAGAATGTTTTTATTTCAAATTTGGGGGAGATGGGCAGCCCGGGTGACTTAGTGGTTAAGGGCTGCCTTCAGCCCAGGGCCTGATCCTGGAGACCCGGGATCGAGTCCTACGTCGGGCTCCCTGCAGGAAGTCTGCTTCTCCCTCTGCCTGTGTCTCTGCCTCTCTCTCTCTCTCGTCTCTTATGAATAAATAAATAAAATCTTTTAAAAAATTGGGAGGAGAAGATGTAGAGTAGTAGATGCGAATGTAAGAAAAATTGAAACATAAACACACTGATACGAGCTTCACAAATCTAAAATCATCTTATGTAGTTTAGAGACTAAAGTACATTATGCATAAGTTATTTTTGCTCCCAGAATAATCCTGTTTTATGGACAAGGACATAGCAAGGGCTCAGAAATAACAAAGCAGCTGAGGTTTAGGGTGACAAGGATATGAATAGATTTTTTAATCCATTAAAATTGACTTTAATATTATAGCAATCTTGTGATAAAAATTGGGACCCAAATAGTAAGCTAAGTAGAGGCAAAAAAAGTTCCCCCAAATTGTTTTTTTTTAATGAACATATTAATCAACTGCTTCAGTGCTTGGGGCTTTCTTAGGCATAATTCCCCCACGCCCTCTTTTTCCATAACCAAAAGTCACCAGGGCCCCCATGAGCTGTTCACCAGACTGTTTGCTCTCTGTTCAGCAAGACAAGGACAGTCATAAGCAAAATGGAAGGTTGGTAACTTCAAGGAAACCCCCACCTTCTCTTGTCCCCTCCCACTCACCCATGACTTGGGCCCCTCCAGTCAAGGAGGAAGGAAGCCTCTGCTCATATTTAAGCAAATACAGAACTCACTTGGTTTTTCTCAAGAATCACCTGCGGTTAGGTAGTGTCCAGCCAAAACGAACAGACCCAAACAAGTAACCACTTGCATTTACTGAGCACCTACTCGTCAGGCATTGTGTGGCTTTACTGCCAGATCACAGCCATTGTGAACACAATCCTGTGGTGTAGGTGTCACCATCACCATTTTACACTCCTGAAGTTGCACACTCACTGATGGGCCGTGGTCGGCCTGGCTCTTGGCGTCTGGGTCCTCTAGCTGACAGGACATACCTACTACAGACAGTCTAGGTGACCGTGCACATGGAATGTCTCGTGACTGTCTTACGACTGGGTAACATGGTAGCCAGATGGTGCTGGGGTCTGGTGAGAAATTGGCCCCTCCACCCAGATATTAGGTGGTGGTGATGCTATCTGTGAGAGGCTGTTTGGGGAATAACATAAGGAAGCGTGCTGCAGTATTAGCTTGACGTGAGCTCGGGTGTGAGAGGTTTTCCGCAACCTCACCCTGAACAGGCAGCTTGCCCTGGCCACCAACCAGGGTGTGTCTCCTTCGATGAACCGAGAAGGCTAGCCAAGCCGTGCTCTTCAAATATCGCCCACGGATATCTCCTAGTTTTCTCTGCTGATAGTGTGTCCATTGATCTCGCTGTGTTCATTTTAACTCCGATAAGCCCTGGGTTCTGGAAACTAATTCTGTGAAAGAACTAGCCTTCCAGTCCAAGGCATCTAACTCCAAGGACAGGGCTCTTTGCACAGCTCCACCCTGCCTCCTTATATTTATAGATCTTTTCATAGCCCTCCTTGAATGGTCATATTTTGTATGGCAGTGAGGAAGATATGTTGAAGGCAGAAGTGGATATATTTAGTGCCCCTCAAGCAAATTGTGTTGGAGACTGTTTCATGTATGACTAAAGCCATATCCTTGGATATGCCCTATCTGCTGGCATTCTCTCTCTTATTCTCTCTCTCTCTCCCTCTGTCTCTCTCTCTCTCTCTTTTAAGCAGACTCAGGGGCTTAACTCACAACTCTGAGATCAAGACCAGAGCTGAGATCAAGAGTTGGACACTAACCAAAGGAGCCACCCAAGCCGCCCTCTGCTGACATTCTTGCTGGAGATGTCCTGGACCGCATCTGGTGGCCTCTGTTCCTAGGGCAAGGTTGCATGCACCAGGGGTGTGCCATGAAATCCTAAAAACTTTGTGGCAGACACTCCAGGGATACTGGTAAGGAAGGTAGTCAAGCTGGGATCTCCTGACTCTTAGTTCAACAATCAGTTCCTCTGGCTCTTTTGCTACTAAAAAAGTAGTAGTAGCAATATTAATAGTAATATTAGTAACTAATAGCATAGTAATAATAGTAACCAGTGGCTACGGTCCCTTCCCTAAAAAGAGAGCATTTAATAAGACACGAAATTCACCACACGCTCAACCCATTCATTATACAGATCAGTTTGGGGGAGGTGCCCAAAGGTACTCAGCTAATCAGTGGCATAGGGAAGGTTAGAAGCCAGGGAATGGCTCTAAGACGCGACACCCTTGCCTTCCAAAGATGGCCTTACAAACTTTCTTTGGTGGTCTGAGTGCTGGAGACCAAGAAAGAGGCTTTAATGGAATTTGACTTACACATGCATCTTAATTAAGGATCAAATTAGAATTGCTTGAAGCGTACACTTTGCAAAGAAAGAGCATGCAGAAGATTTATTATCAGTCACCGAGCCCATGGAAACATCTTGCTTGCCATGGAGATCTGGATGCACGATGGGCTCACTTGTTTCAAAATGAGCAAAATCACTGCCTGGCCAGAAATGGACCAAAAGACCTCCCCTCCCCGGGAGCCTGTGTTGGAATAATTAAGGCCTCTTCAGCCTCAGTTGTGGGGGAAGAAGTTGGCCACCCTGGGCCTTTGACACCAAGTGGTGATGTTCAGGAAGCATGGGTGACACCGCCTTCTCCCTCCAGGGATGCAGCTGCTCTGACTTACCGTGTGACTTCAACACAGAAGGCAGTCCTTGCCCAAGACTGTCACTTGATAAATACCTTTTCATTCTCTCCAGTAACTAATACAAATGACAGTGAGAGAGATCGGGGAAAGCTGTGAAAAGAGCACGGGATTTGCAATCAGAGCTCTTGCTTCAAGCTTGAGCTCTGTCACCAGTTGACTGTGTGACCCTGGGCTGGTCCCTTAACTTCTCTGGACCCTCTGTCAGCTCCATCTCTCAGGGACGTGGTGCCACCCTACCACTGGCCATTCAACAGAGCTCAGTTGCTAAAGAAGACACCCAGGACCCAAGGAAAAGCTTACCAATCCATGGTTTACTGCAGATCAAGGAGGCAGGATAGCAACAACATTAGAGTATGCACCACAGCTGAAGGCTGCCTCACAGCGTGAAGACCAGAGAGGCCAGGGGCCAGCTTCCAGCATCCTCTTTTCTCTAAGGGCCTTAACAGAATGCACTTGCAGGGATCAGAAATCACCAACACAGCCACGAATACCCCGCAACCAGGGAACCCAAAATAGAGTCTCTGCTGGACATTTTTATATTTTGCTGGTCATGTAGGCACCATCTTGTTATGTAACCAGACTCCGCAGCAGAGCCTTCCAAGCCAGGTGCAAATCATTAATCTCGCTGCTCTCCACTAACGGTGCTCACAGGCCCATACAGACCACTCCGAAATTCCCAGGACTCACAGCTCCAAAGCAGCGCTGTTAATCAGCATGCTTCTTGCCTTGACCAGAAGTCAGTTTCCTGTGGGAACTTCAGCAAAGCAACTCGGGCTAGTTTCAGGCCTGCTAGCATTGAGTCTCACAGCACAGATACCATATACTGAAAATGCATATACTTGGTAAACCATGAAACATTATGGAGTGTGGTTTCAATATTTGTAGTATCTTCCTATGCCTTTAATGTACATAATGTGTACTCCCCTGGATGCGATGTTCTCACACTTTCTTTGGAGAGGAGGGCTGATCCATTCCAAGCAAGGCTATTAGCAGGGAGCCCTTAGTAGGACACAGAAGAAAAGATGGTGACTCTACTTGTGATTCTGTACATTCTACTGGGTCATAAGTAGCAGGAGAAAGATGTGTTTCTCTTGGGGTAACATTCCGGTGCTGGCCTAGAGAGAGGTGGTTTCTTACAAACCTCCTCCAGCTCCATAGAAGTGGAAATACGGAAGGAATTCTAGAGACTGGGTGCTTGAGCTGGAGAGAGGAAGACAGCAAGATTGCCATGGGCAAGGGGTTGGAGAGAGAGCTAAGAGGAGGGACACCTTTTCCTTTTCTGAGGTTGACATTGAACAGGAAAGTGACATTATAGAAAAAGTAGAAACCTTTTGCAATGGACATTGGACCCCATATACAGGATTAATTAGCCAATGGGAAGACTTTCCGGAGATGGACTTCATCTTCCTGGCTTTTCAAATGAGGAGAGCGTGGATAAGAAAGGGTTGCACTTAGCTCCCCCAAGAGCCTGACACATGGAGTCTTGGGCCTCTTTTTGATTTCCTGACATTGTTTAGCAGAGGGCCAGGTGCAATGGCAAGCTTGGGGCAGAGGGTCTTCCTGGAGAGAAGTGAGTTAGCCTCCTGCCTGGTGCTCAGTGGAGGAAACCCAGGGCTGGTACATCATTCAGTTTCATGTGGACCTTCCAGCTACCAAGGAACCTTTCTTTCATTAGACACCCTGGTATTTTTCATTTCCAAGAGAGTAATACAAAAGTGACTTCGCCGGAGGAACTTTCTCAAAATGCAGATACTGTCAGCGTGCATTGGATTTAAATATTTCAAGGAGCCCTTGCTAAGTCCTCCAGCTTCAGGAATGATGTGTAGTCCTGTGGTACTGATGGAACCGAAAGACTATTTTATCTCAACTCTTCTACCCGTGTGCTTGGGAGATTTGTCTAGTTTGTGTTCTCCTGGGGCTCCCTTTATAAGCCATTGTGGTATTGAGACTCTAGCATCTGTAGCGTCCTGAAGAGAAACAGTTGCATTTCTCTCATCTTAATAGGAGATGGGAAGGACAGAAACTAATTTAAATGCCAATCTAAGGAGACGTTAGATCTAAATCTCTGCATTTGGAGGGGTATCTGTAAATGTGAGGAAAAAAAGACCCAAAAAGGAATGATGATCAATACAAACAACAAATATTTATTGGATCCCATATGTATGTATGGCATGCGGGGACCACCAAGCAATAAAGGAAACAAAACCTGTTACTGCAGGGCCGACATTCCCCTTGAGGAAACACAACAGACACATAACAGATGAATTCTAGAATAACTCATGCTGCCTATTGTTAAGCACTTATTTTGTGTAGGGCACCGTAAAAGAACTTTGGCATATATTCCATATATAGGCAAGAGGAGCTCTGGGGTGCAGTGGGAAGAGCACCCACCAGGAGTTTGGGCAATCCAGGGAGGCTCCGTGAGAGAGGTGGGGCTTGACTTGGGTGTTGAAGAATGTAGAAGCTTTAGATCAAATGAGAAGAAAGAGGATACTGGAGTGTGTTCCTTTGAGATTATTATGGTGCTGCCTGTTTCCAACAGCCTGAAAGCAGCTACCAGTGTGGCCACCACGCCTCCCTTGTGATGCTATGTGACTCTGTGTTTGAGAGCCAGGATAAGAATCAGCTTCTCAGACTCACAAAAGATGAGAGGGAAACACTGCATCACAGCAGACCTTCAAAAAACTAGGATTTGCCCTGTGGAAGCCAAAGCAGGGAACAAGTGCGTGGCCTTTTGGAGATGGAGGGATGGGAGTGTGGTTTTGACAAGGAATTTCAAATATTTCTTGCAAACCTTTGTGATCTGTCGCTTTAACACGTCTGATGATAAAGTTCCAAATGATAATCTCCAGTGTGAGACACTGGGTTCTTCCTAACTTCACTCTTCCCCCAATAGCAACAAATGTCACCTCTCTGCTCAAATGATTGTGGTCGTAAAAGTCTCTGTTTCTGGGGAAATCTCAAAGGTTTCCTTCAAGGGAGAGTCTGAGCTGCTCAAAATCCGACATCACATTCCCAACAACTGCCAGGGAGAAAAGCCGAAGATTAAAGAGGGCTTAGTATTAGGAAACCCAGTCATTTATTTATGTTATTAGCAGATCGAAGGGGAAAATTAAACGGTCAGGTCCCTTCTGGGAAAGGCATTAAAAATCCACTGTGATTCGGAAGTAAATACCTGAAAAACAAAAGTTATCTCCTTACCATAGAAAACATTTCTGTTTCACACCAGAAGTTAACATCATGCTTAATGGGGAATAAGACAAGAGTGTACACTCTTATCGTTGTTCAACAACAGCCTGAAGGTACAGGCCTGGTAATTAGATAAGGAAAAGAAATACAAGACAGAAAAATAGGCAAGGAAAAGTATAAATGTTGGTTATTTTCAAACCTGGAAAATGCATGAGAGTCATCTGAAAAACCGTGACAAATCATGAGAGAAGTCATTAGTAGACTTCCACCCATTGTGTGACAATCAATTAAAACAGACAAGGGAAGAGAAGATTCTATTCACAAATACAGAAAAAGTAAAAGAATGAACTGGTAATAAACGCAATGAGAATGTGCAAGATCTCCATGAAGGAAATCCTAAAATCCTCAGGAGGAAAACAAAGACTTGCAACAGTATCTACAACTGTTGGGCAGCCCGGGTGGCTCAGCGGTTTAGCATCTGCCTTCCGCCCAGGGCGTGATCCTGGAGACCCGGGATCGAGTCCCACGCCGGGCTCCCTGCAGGGAGCCTGCTTCTCCCTCTGCCTATGTCTCTCTCTCTGTGTGACTATCATAAATAAATAAAAATTTAAAAAAAATAAAATAAAGGTATTGATTCTGGGACACCTGGGTGGCTCAGCGGTTGAGTGTCTGCCTTTGGCTCAGGGCGTGATCCCAGATCCTGGGATCGAATCCCACATCGGGCTCCCTGTAGGGAGCCTGCTTCTCCCTCTGCCTGTGTCTCTGCCTCTCTCTGTGTGTCTCTCATGAATAAATAAATAAAATCTTAAAAAAAAAAGAACTGTTGACCAGGAAAGCTCAATGTCATATGTAATAATAATTACCAACATTTACTTAGCATTTACCACGTACCAGACACTCCGCCAAGTGCGTTACTATATAACTCATCAAATATGTAAATTATCCCTACATTCATCTGCAAATTTAACATGATTGAATTCCACACATTATGTATATACTACCTATTCAAAAAGAAGATTGGATTTAAAAAGCTCAATTTCCATGATCCAAGCTGACGACATTAAAAGGATCGCCCAAGATTCTTCAAGCTCTTGCCTTAAGAAATAAGGAGTATGAGAAGCATTAGTTTGAATCTTTGGTTCTTCTATCAGAAGACCTTTCCTTGGCTCATGATTAAGACAATCACCCCTTGATGCCTCGGTTTTCCCACAGGATGACTTGCCACCTTCAAGTTGCCTCCAGGAGGCTCCAGAGAAAAGCCAGGATCCCCACAAAGACTGATTTGACACACACATGAGCTCTGCCCTGAAAATCATCTTCCCAACCTTCCACCTTGGAAGGACTTCTGGCCCAGGCCAGTCAACGGGGAGAGAAAGTGAAGTCTACACGAAGACCAGAGACTAGGCGTTGGCTTTGTTCGGCACCTCTCTTCTCCAGAGCTCCCCTGCCCAGCCCCCTGGGGCTCCCCACTGCTGTGTCACCTCAGTCACCAGTGCTGATAAGGCCACGATTGAAGAAGACCTCCCAGATGCAAGTCCCTCCTGGGGGACGTTATCACTCAGTGACCGTAACTAAGCCAAGCGTGGTGACAAATGGAGCGCCTACCTGATATGGCACCCAGGAGAACCAGGAGAAAAACTGCTCCCTGCATCTCCGAGAGTCACCTGTGGCCGCACTTCCAGTGTATCACCCAGTAGCTGAATCCTGCCTGACACCCTGAGTTTATGCCACTCAGCTTCCGCTCCTGGTTTTGTTGCCACGAGAGAAATCAAACAGAGGCTTTGGTGGTAACGCAGGGAGACTCCAAACACCACAGGACTGTTCTTTGATTACCTGCTTCTGTGACCTCGTGGTACCCAAGAGACCAACCAGCCAGCCCCGGGGGGAGCTCAGAGTCCATCTTAAAAGCCCACAAGAGGGGATCACTGGGTGGCTCAGCAGTTTAGTCCCTGCCTTTGGCCCACGGCGCGATCCTGGAGTCCCGGGATCGAGTCCCGTGTCTGGCTCCCGGCATGAAGCCTGCTTCTCCCTCCTCCTGTGTCTCTGCCTCTCTCTTTCTATGTCTATCATAAATAAATAAATAAATAAATAAATAAATAAATAAATAAATAAATAAATAAATAAATAAATCTTAAAAAAAAAAAAAGCCCACAAGAGCAAAGAAAGCAGAGGCATGGAGATGGTGCTAAAAGCTGGACATAAGGGCCACCTGGGTGGTTTAGTCAGATGTGTCTGCCTTCAGCTCAGGTCATGATCCTGGGGTCCTGAGATCGAGCCCCGCATCAGGCCCTCTGTTCAGTGGAGGGTCTGCTTCTCCTTTTTTTTTTTTTTTTTTTTTTTAAGATTTTACTTATTTATCCATGAGAGATGCAGAGAGAAATAGAGAGGCAGAGATCAGGCCTGGGCTGAAGGCGGCACTAAACCACTGAGCCACCGGAGCTGCCCTGCTTCTCCCTCTTTTTTTTTTTTTTTTTTTTTTTAAAGATTTTACTTATTTATCCATGAGAGATGCAGAGAGAGAGAGAGGCAGAGATCAGGCCCTGGGCTGAAGGCGGCACTAAACCACTGAGCCATCCGGGCTGCCCTGCTTCTCCCTCTTCCTCTGCTTCTCCCCCTGCTTGTAATCTCTCTCTTTCTCAATAAATACATAAAATCTTTAAAAAACGAAACCAAAAGCTGGACATAAGCATACACATCCGTGATGGTCTCAAGCACCCTGTAGCCAGGCATCTCGTCTTTTCTGCTGCCCTGAATTGCTGAGCCGGGCTCAGAGTTGAGACCAGACCCCTCCTCAAAGCAGACTGACTGTGATAGACCCTGCTCATCACCATCACCCCTCTAGCCTTCGATGAAGTCTGTGGTGGAAGGTTATTGGGGTAGTGAGGCTTCTGTGCACTGGGGAGCGATGTGGCCTGTCCCTCGGGGTCAGGTGCTGCCCTACGTGGTGCTTTTGCTTTGTGCCGCATGCAGCCCCACGCGGGTTCCAAGAATGAAACCAGAGAAGGGGCAGTGGCAGCACAGGGGTGGGGGGTGGAGAGGCCTGACCCCTCAGCGTGGTGCAGTGAGAATAGTAGTTGACACAGTGGAAGGAGGAGCAGACTCTCACTGAGCAGGGAACTGGACCTGGGCTCAAACCCAGGACCCCGGGATCATGACCCGAGCTGAAGGCGAGTGCTTAACCGACTGAACGGCGAACCTGGAGGCAAGACCTGCAGGGAGGTTGACTGGAGGCCAGGAGACCATCCCAGCTCATATGCCCCTGCCCTGAGACTGCTGTGGAAGATGCTGCAGCCCCTCTCGGGCACAAGGGGACGAGGACTTAGAAGGCTGAGTGGCCTGCCCTCGGTCAAGCTGCCAGTCGGTGGCCAAGATGGCACTTGGGTCTCCTGCTTCCCAAACCTAGGGCAGCAAGGCCGGCACCGTTCCCCGCCCCCACCTCAAACTTGGGCGAGGCCCTTCCAGCTCCCACAGTGCCGCCTGCAGCCTCTTTCCCCAATTTTGCTGCCACCAGTCTGGGCTAACGGTCCCGGCCTCTGACCCGGACTGTCCCAAGAGCATCCGGCACATCCTGCAGGATGTTCAGCTGAATTCCCCAAAAGCACAATTCTGGTCCTCATGCTCTCACTCAAAATAACAAGCAACCTTTCCCTTAGGAAAAGATGACTTTTCCTGGGGACGGCAGTAAGATCTGAATGTCAGCCTGTAAGCTTCTATCTGAAATAGGTAGATGACAAAAACAGAAACAAAAACCCCTAGGTTTTGCTGTGCAGCCTTACGCGAATTACCTAACCTTCCAGAATCTCTGTTCCACTTGCAGGCATCAGGGCCAGGCCATCGCGTAGCCTTCTCGCAAGCAGCACCAGGATAATGAAGGGAGAGACCCGGGCCCTTGGGCTGTGCTGGGTGATGCCGTGTCGTCCTGCTAGGCCACCCGGGGCGGCGGCAGGGCCTAGAACTCAGAGGGACTCCGCAAACACGGGCCGCAAACCTAAGAACAAATAGTTGCCAAGCTACCAATTCTCACCTCTCAGCTTTTCCTGTCATATCAGTTACTGTAAATAATCCATTTCATTATGCATAATTAAAGCTGAAGTGACGGCTCAGATTAAGTTATGGAAAACGTCAGAATAATTCAGCCTTTGAATTAAAGAAACTCACATCTGTTTAATTTTCAGCCCGACTGCACCGCGGGCTCCTGGCCGCCGTTTCCACTGGGATGGGGGAGCCTCGACTTCCTTCCCCCTTCCTGGTCCGGCCATCGTTGGGTCACATTTGGGAATTTGTCGTGGGTTTTTTCTCCCGTAATTCGAAATTCCGTGTTTAGCCCTGGGGTCGTTTCTGCCCTCACGATGTTCTGTGGTCTGATCATCAGCTCCTGTTTTCTTCTCGAAGCACGTGGTCCTAGCACCAGGGTCCCGTGGTGGGGGTCAGGGGGTACCCGGAGTCCCCTTGCTCTCCTGTTCCTCAGTCGTCCTGGTCCCACCAGGGCCGCAGCCAGGTGACATGAAGGGACTGCCTGGAAGGTGCTGGAACCTTTGGGGCAGGCACCCCCAGCCTCCGGTGGAAGACATGGGGAGCCTTGTCCCGGAACGGGTCTGGCCGGGCAGTGGGTCGGGTGCTTCGAGTATTTCCAGCAGCTCCTCTGGGCTCCAGCCACTTCCACCGTCTGATGTGCCAGCAAGGAAGTTGGGTTCCAAAGATTTGTTGTCTTGGAATTTGGAGCATGCTTTCCTCCAGAACCCCGTGCATAAGCTGCAATGCAGGGGAAGCTTGGAGACTTGAGATGCGGCACGGAGAGCGCTGCTGGGGACCCTTAAAGGTCGAAACACACCCCTCAGCAGTTGCATGGGCCGTGGCCCTCCAGGGACCCGGGTCACCTCTCCATCACCGGGCAAGTTCGGTGCATGCCTCTCATTCATCCAGTCCCGTGACTGGGCTTTGGGGATCCAGACTCAGCAACAGGGCGCCCCCACTCCACTGCTCCAGCACCCCTGCCCGGCGGGTCCCCCGGTCAGAAGAGGGTCCTTGAGGCCAAGCCCACGGTGGCCCCGCTGATGGCCTGCAGCTCCTCCTCCTGCGGGGCACCCTCCCCACACCCACACCTCTTGCAAATCACACTCTCCCTCTCCTCCCCTGTGGGGCCCAGCCAGTCTCCAAGCTTTCCCGTCCCAGAGACGCTCTTCTACTTCACTGCTTCCCTGTCGCTCTGCGTGCAACATGGTGCCAGATGCACAGCCAGTGCCAGAGACATTCTGGAATTGACGGAATTGCTTTATACTCTTGGCCTGTGCTCTGCTCTCTCCTGCCCCAAACACCCATCGAGGGAGAGCCCCTGAGCCTTGGGGGGAGGAAATAAAGAAGTGCCATAGCCTTCCTCACTTCCAGAACCCCTGGGCTGGATGCTCCTGGCCCGGACAGCAAGGTGGGGGGGGCTCCGCTGGGGCAGGCAAGAAGATGTCCCCTCTACCCTTCTGAGCTCTTGGCAGAGACCCCAGTAATAAAGGAAAGACTGGCCAGAGAAAGACACACAGAAGTTTATGAATGTATATACTTCATGGACACATGGGCGAAATCTAGGGGAAAATGGGTAACTCCCCAAGGGGCTTAGAATCCAAGGTTGAATAGCATCTTAATGAGAAAAGGGGGAGGAGGACGTTCATGATCTTAGAGAAAGGAAATCAATTTTTCAGACGATGAATGGGCCCTCCAAGAACAGATGAGAGGATGAGACTCCTCTGCTGTGGCAAGAGTCAATCTTCCGTGGTTGACGGAACTCATCCCCAGGGAGGGAATTTATGACAATTGGGTTTCTTTGGAGGATCTGTCTTCAGGCAGGTGAGGAGACTTCCATGGAAGCGTCTCCCTGTATTTGCTGCTTTTCCAGTGCCCTCAGCTCAAAATCATCACTATGCCAATGCCGTTTTACCCAGGGGTAGCATGTCCTGAACTGCTACAGTCATATTTTGGGGTGACATACTCTGCTACCCTGCAGCCCTCAGGTCCCCCTGGCAGGGCCCCTGCCCTGGCTCCAGGGGTAGAGAAGTGAAGGGCCTTGACTTCCTGTAGCCTAGCCCTACCTGGCTCCAAGAGATAGGACACTGGTTAGCACGGGCCTGGGCTCAATCTCCCAGAAACTCTAGATCACTCTTATCTTCTAGAACAGTGATACTGAGATAGAATTCACACCCCAGACAGCGCACCCATTTAAAATGTGCAACTCAGTGGTTGGTAAGTATATTCGGAGTTGTGCAACCATTGCCGTAATGAATTTGAGGGCACTTCCATGCCCCCACACCCCTTAGCACTCACTCTCGATGTTCCACCGCTGTCTCCCACAGCTCCAGCAACCACCAGTCTACCCTCTGCCTTGATAGACTCTCCTACTCTGGACATTTCATATAAATGGAATCACACGGCCTGTGGCCTTTCTGACAGGCTTCTTTCACTTCGCAAAATGTCTTCAAATTCACCCGTGTGGCAGCATAGATCCTTTACTTCATTTCTTATCATCGCTGAATAATAGTTCATTGTATGGGCATCCCACATTTAACTTGTCCATTCATCAGTGATGGACATCTGGATTTTTTTCTACTTTCTGGCTGTTATGAATAACGCTGCTATGAACATTCCTGTATAAATGTTTGCCGGGAC